CTACATAGCAGGAACGTAACGTTTTTTTTTGGGGGGGGGGTAATGCTAAGAGGAGACATCTTTTTTATAATGTGGGACAAAGAAATGTTCATCTGTTAGAGCTAATATTGTTTCGTTAGAAGAGCTGAAACAGTGTCTCTCTCAGAACTCAGTCTGTGTGCCCCTCGGCGCGCTCCTGTAACAGTGCTGTCAAGGAGGAGTTTGGTCAAGCGAGCAAAGTTGGACATTTCTGTTTGATAACGACGCTCTGAACACATAAATTATAGTGAGTTAGATTTTAGATACCAACGTCTCGAGTAGCTTGGGAGCAAAGTGTGGAGGACGGGGTTTGCTCGCTCAGGACAGGAGCTGCAGGCTGACCGGTGTTTATCCTGCAGACTGCTGCACTGACATCAGAAAGACCCGCCCTTCTCTGCTCTGATTGGATAAACTAAGCTGTGGGGTTCGTTTGATTTGTTGAACATCTGTATCAGAGTGGGCGACTTGAGACCGCAACAGAAAACAAGCAGGCTTCTCTTTTCCTCATTTCTTTAAAAACCGAAAATACCGACAAGGGCAAAATGACGTCTGTTATTGACATAAATGTCGGTATCGGTTATTTTTCGGTTTATCGCCCAGGCCTAGCAATATCCCTCTCGCCACTGATTACTTTTAAACTAAAAAAACAAATCAAAAATCATAATGTGACGTGACATGAATGTAACTTGTACTTCATCACATTAAGAAATGTGGAGTAGAAAGTACAGATACTTAATGTAAAATGTAGTGAAGTAAAAGTTTAAAGTACCCGTGATTAAAACTACTTTAGTAAAGTACAGATACATGAAAAATGTATTTAAGTACAGTAACAAAGTATTTGTACTTTGTTACATCCCACCACTGATTAATACTGCCAAACTGACCTTTCCCTGTTTTAACCACAGTTTCTTATCAATTTGTTGCCTCATTTTCTCCTTTCACTCCACGTTGTTCCTTATTTTGAAGCTGTTCTGAGGCATGGTGGTGAAACATAAAATGTCCACTGTTCATGTTACTCAAAAGGTTGTTGTTAGCTTATCAAAGAGTGAGTTCGTTGATGCCACCAAACTTGCTTAGCTGGACCGTGAGATGGTGAGCGGCTAAAGCTTTTCCTCTGCCTACATCCCCCAGAATGCTGTGCAGATCTGGCTCAGAGGTCAGTGAAATTATCAACATTCTATCAGATGTAATTTCTATTGATGTTGATTAGATCACATCTATTGTGATATACATATTGTTATTGTTTTATCGTCCAGCCCTAACTTTAACTACATTGCACTGATTGGTGCAACATCCATCCATTCATGCATTAATTCATTTTCTTTTATCCACTTCCTTCTTTCTGGGTCACGAGGGAGATGGAGTCCATCTCCAGTAGTCACTATGCAAGAGGCAGGGTATACCATGGACAGGTAACAAKTACATCATATGGACATAAAGAGACAAGCCAGACAACCACTTTCAAAACTACTGCTATGGTAACTAAAGCGATAAGCTCATCTTTCACTGCCCTGGTCACGTTTTGCCCAGGTCCCCTCTGCAAATGAGATCTTGGTCTACATGAGGTTTATTCTGGTTAAATACAGAAAATGAACTGAATATAGTAAGCCTAACTTAATGAGCTTGATATTTCACATTATGTCAAACTAGACATTTTTGTTTGATTTTATTTAGTCTTGAAAGGACACAAACTTATGTTTTCTTAGAAGTTTGATTTGGATTTGAAAAGCTAAAGTAATCAAACTGTCAATATAAAACATAAAAAAGGAATGTCTTTTTCAGGCCTTTACATCGTCATAGAGCACAGTTCAGACTTGGCAACAAAGATGTCTTTCCTGAGTGTAAAGAGTGTTGATTACTTTCTAATATAAACAGTCTCCTGGCACACCAGTGAATTAAGGCTAGACTTTGTGAAAAACAAGGTTATACATTTTTAGTTATGTACTCACATACGACAGCATGGCTTTGAGTTCGTCGTCGCTTCTTACTGTAATTCTGTCTCCCACTTCATCTTCATCTAAAGACATTAATGTGGACATGTCACAAAAAGCCTGACAGTGAAATACATACATCATGTTGTTGTCAATGTAATACTACCTTACAACATAAGACTGGGGAAAAACCTGAGCAACAATAGTCTGCTCAGTCTCTCCCACGTCACCAGCTGAGGGCTGTAACTCTGTTCCAGTGTTTASAGGTRTCTTGGTGGTCTCTCTTACTAGTCTCCTCATTGCACCATCACTAAGTTTGTCAGAACAACCTGCTCTTTATAAATTTACATGTCCCATATTCTTTCCATTTTTTGAAAATGAATATAACAAATGTCAGGAATGTTTAGGCACCTGTAAGACATTTTATATCCACCTCTTGACTTGTACTTTTCAACAGTATGTTCAGTGGGTTGAATTAGGACAGAAACTGTCCTGTCTGACCTCCTAAACATGTCCACACCCTCCCACTCTCTAAGGTCTGCCTCCTCCCTCCAACTCTCAGTACCCCCTGCCCGCCTCAGCACCATGGGGRGCAGAGCTTTCAGCCGCTCTGCTCCACAGCTCTGGAACTCACTACCCCACAGATTATGCAATCCAACCTCTCTCTCCCTGTTTAAGACTGGCCTGAAGACACATCTTTTCAGACTAGCCTACAGTTAACTCCGATTGTACCTCAATATATGTAAGACTGTTTTGTAGTCCTCATTTCTGTTTCTCCCCCACAACCCTATTGTTCAACTTATCTATTTTTTGTATTTCTTTACATGACTGTTATGTACTCCACATTTCTATGTTTCTGCCGCACTACCCTATCACTCTATGTATTTACATTTGTTTCTTTTCTATTGTACAGCGTCCTTGGGTGTTCTGAAAGGCGCTATATAAATAAAATGCATTATTATTATTATTATTATTATTATTATTAAACTTTAAAAGTGATATATCGTGCACATTGGATTTTGCACTGCTAAACCCACCTTTTTCACTGTTAAATACATTTGGTTGTGTACTTTGAGTCTCCTGGAGAGCAGAAAAGTTTTATTTAGTTTCTCCCGGTGCTGCACAGACATCTACTTAGTAGGGATGCACCGAAATGAAAATTTCAGCCGATATGGATATCCAATATAATTATTGCTGTTACGGCCAATAACCGAAATTACACAAACACACAAGTTATATTATACATTTACACTAGAGGTGTCCCGATTCCGATACCAGTATCGGTATCGGATCCGATACCAGCATCAAGTACTCATACTCGTACTCGTAAAAGCCGGC